ATTGTCTAAAAATGTAAGAAATTAGTTTGAAGTTTTTTTTTAATAGTTTAGTATGCACAGCAGAGACAATTTTGGGAACGAAAGACTTAAGAAACAAACTTGCATTCTTATGTAACTGTAATGAAAAAAATTACTTGATTGAATTACAAATAACACCAGAGTTGCTTAGTATGCTAGTCACGTGAATTTATATGTACATATGTATGTAGCTATTGATAGACAGCCAGTCGCGCTTTTCTAAGTAAAGTTAAGAATTTATTGTAGAAAAGGTAAAAAAAAAATGCTTTATTATAAAATTAGCTGACACGTATGCACGATTTGACTAAATTCAAAGAAAATATTCATATTTTCATGCCATACAAGCGACATAAACAGGCCCGCATAAATGTTGCCAAGTCAATGGCCTGGTTATAAGGCTTCACGGCATCGCGGCGCCACTTTGATGGGTGATTGGGTGCCAAGTGTTTAAGTAATTTAAGAGTTTGGTTTTGTGTTTTATATGGCTGTAGTTCGAAAATCACTACTCACATACCTTAGAAAATAATTAATTATACTAATTTTAAAAACCCAAAAAAGAAACACAGCTTATATTTAACTCCAAAATATCACTTACCTACTGCGCAATTTGTTGTAGTAAAACTGCATCTTAAGCTTCACGATTTTGTGGGGCAGCAGAAACAGGTGTGGCATGCGGTAAATAATTTTCGATATTCACAGCGCTTATTTATTTACATACTTGTTTAACTCACTTTTATTAACATTTCTCACGTACTTCGACTTGTAAATCTCATTTTCGAAGTTAATAGCGCCAAAACTTCGAAAAGTCTACTGCATTCGCGCTACGCTCTTTTTTACCAGTCCTTAGCGCTCTGTATTTTGTTCGATTATTTTACATCTCTCATTCTTTGTTTACATTTTTTATTTACCAACAAATTCGAGCTGGGGAAAAGAGAAAACTCGTTTTGGCGCCTTTAGCCATAACATAACAAAGAATTTCTTTGTTTGCTTTCCATTTTGTAAGCGAGTGTGTTTCTGACCTGTTTTATTCCATCACCGCTCGAACGTTTGTCGTCATCGTTAATTTCGTGCAATCACCTGAAAACATGAAATTTAAAAAGTAATATTATTATTGTGCTCTGCCTGAAGCGCATTTGAGTAGGAATTTGGCCCACAAAATTTAATTTATTATATTATTTGCTTGTTGGAAGCTCTTAGCACGCAAGCAATAATGCACTCGGCGGTCAAGTACTCGCAGTGTATAGTGAATTTTGGTGTAATATTTTTTTTTTGTGGTTTTTTTTCATTTTGACTTTTTTATTTAAGTGCTAGCAAGGAAATAATTCCGTAGCAAAATCATGGTCAGAAATATTTGATTTGTATTTTGCGTATTACATTATTTGCTTTTGTTGTATCGTTATTAAATCAGCTGGTTGCGTGAATGGGTCAAGCGTGAAGGAGTTGTTATCGCACATATTAAACCGAGCCCAAACGAGTGGGCGGCCAATTTGACAGCGTTCCAAAGCAAAAATTTACAAATTTAGTAGAGAAGAATTACCGTTATGGAGTTGACTAGAATACTAATAATAATGATAAAATTCTTCACATATTTGAACATATGTACATACATTCACTTAAACTTTAACTTAAACTTTGTTTAGAAATGAAAACATTTTTTATTGTTAGCGAACATTTTATTTTCATGGAACGCAAATTAGGCCACTGTCAAAAGGGCTTAGACTATTATTGAATTGAGTTTCTTCGACAAAAATAAAAGTTGTATCGATATATTTATCGATAAATCGATAGTTTTAGGGAATTATCGATGAATCTATCTTGTGAAGAGCGACGTATTCGATATAAATCAATATACATATGTAGAAAAAAAGCTATCGATGCATTTTCTTTAAATATCGATAACAATGAAGAGCTGTCAGTAAGTTTTCAATCTATAAAGCAAATGTCCCATTATAATACTGATATATTCAACAAGGAATCGATAATAATATCAATAAATGAATGAATACAACTGTCGGCATCGCTACCGATATAGCTTTAAATACCCTTTTCGGGTTCATATTCTATAAGAATAACATTTCTATGCAAGTTATTATTTGTACAGTACTCTACGTTTACAGCTATTAATGGCTAAACGCGTTTTGAAGTTGTGATAACACCTGGATAAAACCTTACAAATTTCCAGACAAATAAAGTCGTCGTAAAAAATGGCATGCATGATTGTTTCCAGTGTATAAAGCATATCCATTTCTGCAAATAAAACCAAGCAGACCACTAATAAAACATTTCACTTTATAGGCCTGTACTAAAGTGCAGGACAATTAATAGTCAAAACATATGTGTGTACGTACATACATACTATATGTGTATTATACATAGAGCCCACTATAAGTAGCATGACATTTCCTTTCAACTCTCACGTGAATTAAACAGTTGTCTAAGGTCGACTTGCTGTTGTTTTCCATGGGAAGTGGGTAGATACTGAGTGCCACATAAAGCGATGGCAGATAAGTCGCGTGCAAGCAGATTGACATACTTTACTGGATGCATAGAGTCAACATATCCACGCATATTTATGGACATACATTTGCAAGTACAGACACGTGTACATGGGCAAATACTTGCATTTGAGGAGGGAGAAAGTGTTGGTAGATCTGGTATGCCACAATAAAAATTTCGAAAACCAGTAGGCTCATATGTATATTTGTATGTCGATATGTACGCATGTACATTAGGGTGCTTCCTAAAATGTCAAATTGAATATAATAAGATTTTATATAATTTTGACATATTTGCTTACCATGAAAAAATAGTGTTTTGAGTTCCAGTCGTTAGTACGGACATTAACTCCAATGACTGTAATTTGTGAAAGTTTATTCGGAATAAATGCAGCACTTTTCAAATTTTTCCTATAATTATCTTAAAATCTACCAAGATAGTCCCTTTTCTAATGACGTTGTCCTTTGACTTTATTTATTTTTCTAAAATTTATTTAGTCCTTTATTTCAAAACTTGTTTCTTTAAAGTACATTTTATGACACGATGTCAGACATTAATGCATGACAGGCAGGACAAGGAGAGGCGATCAATTGAAACAGATCTGAGCCATAGTTCGTTTGAAAATAGTTTACTTGATGGCATTTAGGATAGAATTGAATGACTGCAGATTAGTTTCCTTTCGCGCCAATGCTGGTTGCAGGAATATTTCTGTGCCCGTGAAGCCAGACTACATTCTTTATGCATCGCGTTGCCAAATCGCTTACAGCCACATTCTTCTTTGAATTATTACATTCGAAGGGATTTTGTTACGCTGTAGATTTTAAATTGAAGCCTTCCGATTAGACGGTGATGGAGTATTTTAATTCAAGAAGCCTTCCTTTTACCTCTTAATTCAATTTAGAATACACTCAGTACTCTCGTAGACGCAGTTTTTAGAAGTAGCTATTCCGAATGGATTTCGCTGCCGACATTATTATTTAGCGCAGGATCATCTCTGAAGATTGTAATGGGACTAGAGTCTAGCTTATTACACTTCGCCATTCGCTCCTTGTTATCAAACTAGGTAGGTAAGATGTTGGTTTGCTTAGTATCATTTACGGTAGGCTGTTGCTCGTCGCAAGAAGAACCGAGAACTTTAGGAGCTTGGTAGGGGTTGTAGGGAAAGGCCCTCGTAATAAGCACCCTTTCCATTTTGGTTTTGAACTTATGTTTGGCCAGCGTTCGTTACAAAACTGTAACTCGAAGAAAGAATGGGCATGGTCGGGTAGATGAAATGATTTTTCCAGCCCAAGTCGAGCTTCAGTGCTTCAATTGTAGTTTTCTTGCCGAGACTTAGCCACCATACCAAAATCGCTTAGATTAGAAGAGGTTTAGCAACTACTATGTAAAGCCTGTGTATAATGCTTGGGCAAAGCCCCAGCTACGCTCAGTTGCCCACTTACAGCAGTAGAGGGCTACAGTTCCTCTTTTAACGCATTCTTGTACATGTTGTGCCCAGTTAAGACTTTTGTTCAGAACTGCGCCTAGATATTTCGCAGATTCCCTTAGCCCCAGCGTCGTGTTGCCTATGGCAGGGAGCTGGGGTGAAGGGATTTTGTACTTCCATGTAAAGAGAACCCGGTCAGTTTTGTCCGGGATAATACCCAGGCTTTTCTCATTGGCCCATCTTTCAATTAGTCTTGATTTATTCTGCATGATTTCACGCAGAGTTTGTGGAAATTTTCCGCTCACAACCACCGAAAGATCGTCAGCATACGCAATGACTTTACAGCTCCCGCCATTCCTCCCCTTCCAGAGCCTGCAACAAATCGTTAATTGCCACAACCCACGAAAGGGGAGACAGAACCCCCCACGCTGAGGGGTTCACCTGCAAACGTATCTGTCCAGCAACAACGCCCGCACGATTCTGCCTACTAGCAATTTCCGTACAAGCGACACTAGCCGTGAGTCGATGCCCAGGTCCGTTAGAGCTGATGTTATTGCATCAGGCGTGATGTTGTTCAAGAGACCTTCGATGTAAGGAAATGCTATCAAAGTAAGAATTATACCATTCTATATGAAAAAACCTCAATATAAACTATTTGACCTTCATTGAAATGCTTGAAAAAGCATAAAATACAAATTACACAATTGCTCTAATTTATACGAGTACATACCTAAGTATGTATGTATGTGTTTGCATGCAAATATGTCTAATGGATGTCTGCCATCATTGCACGCTTGAGCGCGTTTTCATAGTGATCATGCAACCAAAAAAAAAAAAAAAATCGTGAAAGTTCAAACAGAGCATTCATCTGTTCTACTAATATGAATTGGTGTGTTATTTTTTGTGTGTTCTTTATTTCAAATGTTGCTAACATTAAACAAATTAGTTTCTAATTATCTTTGTTACTAAATTCTGTTGAATTTTTTCATTTATAACTAAACAGTCTGTTCAAAAATTAAACGTATAGCGAAAAAAGGCGTTTGCTTTATACATATCTCGCGCTGATAGCTAAGTTCAAGGTGCTTCGATCGCAGTACGCACCCACTTGTGTCAGAGAAAAGCATTCAATTGTAACAAAGAAGAAGCTTTTAAACCAGCTGCCAAAATGAGTTATCTGCGTTCCGTAGGTAAACAAAATTCTCCAAAAGGCATTTCGATTATTATGTGTCCTCATTATTCCCCTAATTGCCTAACCATATTTGTATATTATTCGTATGCCATTTAATTTTTATTACCAACAACAATAAATTCATTTACGCTCTTGTTCTTTCGCACAGAAATCTCACGCGTTGAGATGACTCCAGCGGAGGACGCCACCTACACGACCAGTAGCGGCTCGAAGCGTGCCAGTTACTCGCTGATTGGCATTAAAATACTGGAGCTAGTAAGTATGCGATCGCAAGCAAGCATATGTGTGCTTATGCGTACACTATAATTAAATTTCATGTCTACACTTTTCAACTTAATCCAATTAAGCTTTAATGAAAACTCCAATAACTACTTTATAACTATTTCAGGCACTTGTCATCGTCTGCATCGGCCTCATCGATGAGCCATCCACGCACTCACATCTGCGCATCTTCATAACGCCGCGCGTTGTTGCGCTCTGCTATGTAACCTTTGGCAGCCTCATCATTTATTCGTCAATTTACTTAATTATGGCATTGTTCGGCGATATGTGCGTGGTGCCCCCTTTTAGAACGCTCTTTTCTTGTACAAATTTAGTATTTTATTTTTTCATTTTTTTTTTCTTTTATTTCCTCTTATCCACAGCACCCCTTGGCGCACTTCGGTTTTATGGTCTTTAGTTGGCTTCATTCTCCTCGTTGCTGCGACGGCGATGCTCTTCCGCGATTGGTCCACCACAAAGGAACGCAACTACTGGCATCCGAATATGCAACGGCTTGACCTAGTCTTGGGGGCTGCCTCAGTTTCATTGGTCACCACGCTTATCTATTTGGTGGATTTGTTGGCCATAATACGTTTTGGCATTAGTGGTGAGCTGGAGTAGGGATGATCGATTGTTTGAGCTATCGACTGTATGGGAAAGCCGATGCCTCCTGTACGGGGTTCACCTTAATGCTGTAATATTTACAGAAACGAGCGAGTATATTTTTTATTGTAATGTGTTTTATTAATAACTTCTTTTAAAGGAAATAACTGCAATAATTTTATGTTGAATACATAGTATTAAGCTCAATGTATGTTTTTTTTTTCGTTGGTATTTTCACTTATACAAACATACACAATAATAATATTATTAAGCGCATTCGAATATATGTATGTATCATTTGCCATGGTGAAGTTTTTTTCAAAATGTACAAAAAATGCAATTTTTAATATTGAGTATCAAATAAGAATATGTCAAATATGTATTTGCTCAAATACAGTTTTCACTAAAACAAATTAGTTACTTACATACTAAGGGCAAATTTGAAATAAATCACTTTTTTAATATAACGAATAACGATATAAACCTGGATCAATTTCCTTTAATTGGGTTAGGTAAATTCAGTTTATTTGATTTGAAGAGGTTTAAAAGAAGATACCACAATGAGGTAGTGAAGTTGGTTCAAAGGTCAAGCGAAGGGGCTTTTAGGTGCTTAGTATTTTTCAAAATAATACATTTAATGTAAGTACTTTTCTGCCGTTTATCTACCCACTGAGCAGGCCTTTACGCGTTGGCGACGGCGAGTACCGCAGACGATGGAACGATGAGCTGTATGAGCTTTACAACGATATGGACATAGTGCAGCGAATTAAAATACAGCGGCTCCGCTGGCTTGGTCATGTCGTTCGAATGGACACCGACGCTCCAGCTCTGAAAGTATTCAACTCGGCACACGCTGGTGGTAGCAGAGGAAGAGGGAGGCCCCCACTGCGATGGAAAGATCAGGTGGAGAAGGACTTGGCTTCACTTGGCGTTTCCAATTGGCGTCAGTTGGCACAGAGGAGAAACGACTGGCGTGCTTTGCTGAACTCGGCCAAAATCGCTTAGGCGGTTACAGCGCCAAAAAAGAAGAAGAAGAAGAGCAGGCCGGCACAGTTCTCAGCTACTATATAGCAAATTATTTCGCAAATTTTATTGTTTGCACAAACCTCGTCAGTATAATTTCTGTTCTTGCTGCAGCCTATCAAGCTAGTCTTTACTTCCAGACATTTATGGGATCCATAATAAGGGGTTTGTGTCACAAGGTCACATAAATGTATAATGTATAAATGTATAGCTTTGAGTATAGCCTGATTCTTTCAGAAGCTTCAAGTTCATCTCAGTATATGTATTTTCGTATATTTTTGCCTCAAAGATTCCCTCTAAAACCTCCCTATCAACATAGATGATTTTGTCTAGGGCCTGCTCTCGGTCTAGGTCCGCTCTAAGACGGTTAGCAACTAGCTTCACAAAGATCTTACGGGAAAGGTCAACATGGTCAAGGGGCAACATGTAGCAAAAAGTGTTGCTGTTGTTGTAGCGGTTACTAAGTCCCGCTCGGGTCGATTCATCCGTCAACGTTGTCGTCGGTTTCACCTAAGTGGAGGCCCAGGAAGTGTGCGACTTCCACAGGGTCTGTCCATAAGGACAGGGGCGTCAGCTAAGTGGGGTTCTCAGGGCATGTTAAGAGGTGCCGAGAGTCATGTGGCGACTCTCCACATGCCGGGCATTGGTTGGGCACATCCTCATCAGTTGAGCACGCTGCAATAGCCAGAGCGAAGTTGGGCTATTGTGGTGCGTCTACATAACTCGAGACTGATTCTCTGCGAATGCCGCTCAGGGCCTGTCGGTGGGCTGACGGGTCCAGAGGTTGTTTAATGACCCTCTGGAGTTCGTAGAAATGCCTCCTGGCGTGCCTTCGCGAGGGCTGTTCTGCAAGCAGCTGTCTGCTGGGATGACCCCGTGTGTGGCTCCCCACAAGGAACTGCTTGCAGAGCATTATTTTATGCTCCTTGACTGGGAGCATATGGGCCTCGTCGCGTAGGTGGTGTTGGGGCGTCATCAGGAGGCATCTGGTCGCTGTTCCTAGTGCCGTGTTTTGGCAGGTCTGTAGCTTCATCCAATGCGCCCTGCTAGTCCCAGACGACCACACGGGCGCCGCATAGATTAGAACCGGCTGGCCAATTGCCTTGTATGTTGCCAACTGCTTCGCTGGGGTCAGGTGGTTCGTGAAATACGGGAGTAGCAAGACCTCTAGTGTCTTCGCTACCGGGGAAAGGAGGGTTATCGGGCGATAAGACTCTCCTTTGTTGGCTGGTTTCTCCGGTTTGAGCAGTGGGACCACTCTCCCCATCTTCCACATGTCTGGAATGACGAGAGTGGCCATAGACAAGTTGAGGACCTCCGTTAGGTACGCTACTCCGGCAGGACCCAAATTGTTCAGCATCGACATGCATATTCCGTCGGGTCCAATGGCTTTGGAGGCTTTTGCCTTCCCGATGGCTACCCTTACCTCACCGCTGGTGAAAAAAAGAGGCACTCTGAGTTTTGGCATTTTGTGCAGCCTTCTGGTCACTCGACGTTTGGCTTTATCCACCGGAGGATGCAGAATAAACTGCCGGCTAAAATAGCTCGCGCATCGCTCCGAGTCCGACGAAGCGTCGTCACCAAAGGCTATTTCGACTCTGTCGTCACGCTTCGTCGGGTTGGACAACGACCCCACGGTTGACCAAAGCTTACTCACACCAGAGGCGAAGTTGCAAGTCTTCAAATGCTCTTCCCATTTCTTCCGCTTATGTACGTTCACAAGTTGCCGAATCTCCGAATTGAGATCCCTGATACGGGGATTTCCGGTATCGGCCTGACAAAGATTGTCACGCTCAACGGCTAGAACAGCCGCTTCAGCAGGAATGATCGGATGAAGTTGGGGTGAAGCGGGATGTAGCAGCAGTGACAACCCTGCGGAATTTACGTTCACCTATGTGGTTGATATGGGTAGTGCAGTGAAGGCGCTTTCAGACCCATCCGCGAAGCCTTTCCAGCCAGGAAGCTAAGTCGTCAGGTTTATCAATCGAGATGACTATGGGCAGATGGTCTGATCCTAGGGTCAGCATAGGTCACCATGATGGCAGATGGTCTGATCCTAGGGTCAGCATAGGTCACCATGATAGTTGATCAGACCACCGCTGACAATTGTTAGATCTGGCGAGCTGCCCATAATCCTGGTGGTGCTTCGTCGTTAATTGTGCAGAATGTCGAATCGTTTATCTGCTCAGCCAGATGTATTCCCCTACGATCGTTTGACAGGCTTGAGTTCCAAAGATCGTGGTGCGCGTTAAAGTCGCCAACTACCATACGGGTTTCACCTCTGAGTAGCGTACCTATTTTAGGGTGATATCCTGCCGGGCAGCTGGCGACAGGGGGTATGTATACATTAAATATTTCGAGCTCAACATCGCCTGACCAGATAGCAATACCCTGACATTTTAGGATGGTATCCCTGCGATCGATGTTTGCTTCAATAAGACGATACTGCACGGTGTGGTGCGTGATGAACGCTATGTCTCCACCATTGTCTCGCTCGCGATCTCGACGGTGCACGTTGTATCCGGCGCAATTCAACAAGGCTGAATTGCCATGCAACTTCGTCTCTTGGACCGCAGCTATTAATATTTCATGCCTTCCCATGAATCCCAGTTATCTCATCGATCTTGCTCTGGAGTCAAACCTTCAAACACCCCCATACACAGCACAAATGGCTTGAAGCAAAGGGAAATTTCGCTTNCCTAACCTCCATCTTAGCACACGCTTAGCAAATAAGGAACTAGCTTAGCCATCAGTGAATTTCAGTGCATTTAAAGTTTCAGATGCGTTGTTTGCTTTTACACGAGAAATGTCAAAACCGGCAAGGCCACAAGCGCGGTTTGCGGAACACGTCAGCATCTATTCACTACATCGTGGCCGCCAGAAGACCCGGAAAAAGTTTAAGCTCAATAAGGCCAAGATAGCCGTTTTGCACCATTATGTGTGGCTTGTTATCCTGTAACGAGTTGGCAGCATAATAGCAATATTAAATGGATAGCTATTTTGTTGGAGAACAGCCCCGATGGAGCTATTAGGCCTAGAAATGGTGCTGTAAAGAGGGTAATCTAACCGCCCTATTCCCACACGGCTGACAAAACTCAGTGGCCGTACTACNCCGGGCAGCTGGCGACAGGGGGTATGTATACATTAAATATTTCGAGCTCAACATCGCCTGACCAGATAGCAATACCCTGACANCTGGCGACAGGGGGTATGTATACATTAAATATTTCGGGCTCAACATCGCCTGACCAGATAGCAATACCCTGACATTTTAGGATGGTATCCCTGCGGTCGATGTTTGCTTCAATAAGACGATACTGCACGGTGTGGTGCGTGATGAANTTAGGATGGTATCCCTGCGATCGATGTTTGCTTCAATAAGACGATACTGCACGGTGTGGTGCGTGATGAACGCTATGTCTCCACCATTGTCTCGCTCGCGATCTCGACGGTGCACGTTGTATCCGGCGCAATTCAACAAGGCTGAATTGCCATGCAACTTCGTCTCTTGGACCGCAGCTATTAATATTCCATGCCTTCCCATGAATCCCAGTTATCTCATCGATCTTGCTCTGGAGTCCGTTACAGTTGAATTGTAGCAGCTTTGTGTGCCTTGGGAGACCGATTGTTATATGTGGTGTTAGGGAGTTGTAGGAGTAGGTAGGAGTTGCACTTGCCTGTTGTCACGTTACGATATATTCTGGACTGACAAACCGAGCAGATTTTTGAAGGGACTAGGAGTTGCCGGCGGCCGTGTGTGGGTACTATTGTGTTTGTGTGTGTGTCTATTATTATGTTGTGTTGGGGTGTGGGTGTGTTGGTTGTGTGCTGCACGGGAGGGTGGTGGTTTGCCGTGGAGGCGGTCCGGTTCGCACTGCATGGGGCACGAACGACGTGGTCCATTGCCTGTGCGCACGTAGGCCCGACCAGTTGCGGAGGTAACTCCACCCGTCACAGGCATTGCACCTGACCGAGGTGGAGTTTGTGTGCAGTGTCTCTGGCATACTCAAAAGGTGTAAGTTTCTGGCCTGGCTTGGACTTAATGCCAGCCCTGAGCAGAAGGGTACGGAGCAGATGTAACCCTAGAGTAGAGCAACGTTTGACGGATTTCCCCTACCTAAACGGCGTTAGATCGCCGAAACAACAGCCCTTGGTCGGGTAAAACCCGAGTCATTCCGGTACGTAGAACCGGCTGTCATGGGAATGTCCTAACCTCCATCTTAGCACACGCTTAGCAAATAAGGAACTAGCTTAGCCATCAGTGAATTTCAGTGCATTTAAAGTTTCAGATGCGTTGTTTGCTTTTACACGAGAAATGTCAAAACCGGCAAGGCCACAAGCGCGGTTTGCGGAACACGTCAGCATCTATTCACTACATCGTGGCCGCCAGAAGACCCGGAAAAAGTTTAAGCTCAATAAGGCCAAGATAGCCGTTTTGCACCATTATGTGTGGCTTGTTATCCTGTAACGAGTTGGCAGCATAATAGCAATATTAAATGGATAGCTATTTTGTTGGAGAACAGCCCCGATGGAGCTATTAGGCCTAGAAATGGTNGTGCTTACAAAACAACAACAACAACCTTCAGATAAGCAAAAATGTATGATATAATCGAAAATTTTGTTTTCTAATAATTTCTATAATGTGAATTCTGCCGAAGCAACCCCGATCGCAGCGAACAATTCTGGTTTTGCTGAACTGGTTTGGGATCGTGGTTTGGGACCAAATGCACTACCAAAAGTCAGCTGATTTGGGAAATTTTTTATCATATTCTTTTGCTCCAGAAAAAAGCAACCTTGTAAACAATGTAAAAAACAAAGGGGGATAAATGAGGTGGGAGCCAAAAAGAAATTGCAAAGCGGAAGAAAAACCACGCATTTTATGAAATTAATTTGTGAAAATTAGAAAAAAGGTTCTCAGAATCCAGCCGCAACCCACGAAAACACGATGAGTGAGGGTGTTGATTCTGATGAGTCTCTTTACGCAGCCTTGCAGCAGCATTTTGGCCACAGTAGCTTTAAATCGGATTTGCAGAAGAATGCCATAAAGTGTGCCGTGGAAAGTAAGTTTGTTGTGCCGTCTCTAATTTGCGTGCATGTTTTATTTGGAAATATATGTATTTCAAACAGAAAAACGCGATATTTTTGTGTCCATGCCCACCGGCTCGGGCAAATCGCTTTGCTACCAGCTGCCAGGTGTGTTGTGCGAGAATCAGATAACTATAGTGTTCTCCCCGCTGCTGGCACTCATCAAAGATCAAATTGATCATTTGGCTAAGCTAAAGATACGCGCTGACTCGTTGAACTCGAAAATGTCGGCAAAAGAACGTGATGCCGTCATTACCGACCTGAAAGCCTTACGGCCCAGCATACGGTTTCTGTACATTACACCAGAGCAGGCGGCCACACTTTTTTTTCAGGACCTATTGCAATCGTTGGTGAAGTTCGATAAGATCGCCTATTTTGCCGTTGATGAGGCGCATTGTGTATCACAGTGGGGTCATGATTTTCGACCGGACTATCTCAAACTTTGTACCTTGCGACGCAAGTACCCCAATATCGTTTGGATGGCGTTGACTGCAACCGCTTCGCGGCAAGTACGCGAAGATATTTTCCAACATTTAGCTCTCAAGCAGCCCGTTGCCAAATTCACTACGCCAAGTTTTCGGAACAATCTCTTTTATGATATAGTTTTTAAAAATTCCATAGAGGATGATTTCCAGCATTTAGCTGCATTTGCATTGCATTGCTTCGGCGATGTTGATGAGTTCAAAAGTGTGCCTGCGTCGAAACGTGGCTGCGGCATCGTTTACTGTCGTACGCGAGAGACCGTCGAACGTGTAGCGTACGGAATATCGAAGCAAGGCGTCGGTGCTGTAGCATATCATGCTGGCCTGAAGGCAGGCGAGCGCATACAGGTGCAAGAGCAGTGGATGAATGGAGAGTATCCCGTGATATGCGCAACCAATAGTTTTGGCATGGGTGTGGACAAGCCTTCAGTGCGTTTCGTAGTGCACTGGGATGTGCCACAAAATGTGGCTGCGTATTATCAGGAGTCAGGACGCGCTGGGCGCGATGGACTACAATCCTTTTGTCGGCTCTATTATGGAAGAGAAGATGTGAAGTCAATACAATTTCTTTTACAAAATGATGTCAACCGTTCGCGAAGCTCAACTTGCTCTGGAAAGCAGGAAAAAGCGGATGTTAGTACACCGATAGTCTTTGAATTTTTAACAAAAAATAATTTATCTTTATTGTCTTTGTATGGCGCAGCGTGCAGTAAAGAATTTTGAAGAGATTGTCAGCTTCTGTGAGAGCATACGCTGTCGTCACAGGCTATTCTCTGATTATTTTGGCGATCCACCTCCAGAATGCAATAATCAATGCGATGTGTGCAAAAACCCAAAGAAAATTGAAAAGGCATTGGAAATGTTCCACAAGCTCTGTATGGATGGGCGTTTCAAGTCTGACGTATCACTTGAAGATAGCGCAGATTTGTATGAAGGTAAGCCACAGGAGAAGTATTAAATGAATGCATTATTGTGTAATAAGTCAAACGCAATTTCCAGGTGGTCGAGCTGCTGCGAAAAGGCTTAAGGACGATTACGGCGGTAACGACTCCGACGAAGGATCAAGTGAAAGCCATGAACAAATGTCAAAGAAGGCCAAGCGTGAGACAGAAGATTTCATACGAAAACAATTTCAACTACGCAAGCAACTGAGTGCTGCACGCGATTTGGAAAAGGAGGGAAATTCCCAGATAACACGCGTCAAGAATGCACCTTCTAGCGAAGTGAAGGTTTCCGGGCTCACGACAACCATACGTGAGAGTTATTTAAGTTCACTTGTTAGTGTACTTAAATTGAATGTCGAACAGTGCAAAGAGGATGATCCGCGGCGAGATCTTCGTCATCGTGATTTTGAAGCCATTGCCATAGACATCGAGTATGATTGCTTTTCAAAGGTGAAGGTGGTCAGCCTGTATCGGCATTCGTTGGCCAAAGAGGTAAAGTAGATGGAAGTGCTTTTTTGTTAGTTTTCAAAAATTCCTTTCTTACCACAGCTTGCTGCCATACGCCAACAGACGAACAAAGAGTTACTCATGCCTATTCTCAGAAACTATGTTGCACGCCCTGAAACCAGTCAACAAAGCGTTTGGACGGGAGGCAGCGTTGAGTATTTCGAAAGAAAGTTGAAGAAGTTGGAAGACTCTCGGCCATCATCACCTAATACAATCGCCGGTGGGAATTCCTCGAAGGATCTACCAAAAGCATTGCGTCACAAGAAGAGTTATAAGCAGGACACCGCTAAACAGACCACCATTGGCAGCTTTTTCGAAAAAAGTAAAGGAATTAAAAGCGAAGAAGCCGACTGTTCGCCTGTAAGCAGCAGCGGTGACAGCCAAGTTATGGAAACCAATGAAAACGGTAATGTTATAAAGACAGAAATCGCAGAGTTGGCTGATATTGAGCAAAAGGAATGTGAAGAACCAAAGGAGGTTAAGAATTCTGAAGCTTTAACAGCAGAACCCATAAAGGATGATAACTCTTTCGGAGAGGATAAAAACGAGACCATACGAAATGAATCTTCAAACTTAAAAATAGATGACGATCTTGAAGATATAAGTGACAAAGACATAAACTCAAATGAATATAAAATGAGTGAAGATGAAGAAGTGCACGACCCAGATGAGGACAAGAAGGTCATTTCCGATGTGCATGTCACCCAACAACAACAACCTTCTACGAACAAAATAGATAACTTGTTTGGCAACGAAGATTGGGATGATCCGGTAGAGGAGCTGGTGGAAAGTTCCATCAAGTATACAGCCAAAAAAGAAGATGGAAAAATAAAGACATTATTCGGGGAAGAATCGGATATATCGACGGCAAATAAATCCGACAGCTCCACCAGAGGTGGCCCGCGTAACGACGATGAAGATGATTATTTCGACATGCTGTCCCATCACAAACGGAAGCACAGAATGTCACACTACACCAAATCGAAGGAGAAATCGCCTTTGCACAGTTACAAGTCATCAGTGAGCTATGACGCTTACTATCAATCAGCTTCATCCAGCTCAATCTCACACCATCACAAAGCCTCAACTAGTTCTAATCTAACATCGCATCAATACAAATCGGATTCATCCTCCACCAGCTCATCGTCACGTCGCAAACACAAACATAAGCATCACTCAAAGCACAAGCACAAGGGTGACGATTTGGATGAGCTGGATATGTACGAGAGTTCCTCCTCGGCTACAAAGTGTAAGTACAAGGACGCCTTCGTGGACTCGGTCAAATACGAAAAATCAGTGAAGGAAAAACTTAAGGCACTGCGCGCTGAATGGCAGGAGTTTGAGGGCGAATCTGATAGGAAATTAGAGGACTCTGAGGATTCATTGGATGAATTGGAGCAACTCGCATTGAGCAAGAAGAAAATTGAAGAGGAATTGAAAGCTTTGGAAGAGCTTGAAAGAGCCGCCGCGGAATCTGAGAAATCGGCTGCCCTGAAAAAGGCTTCAAAGAATGATGAGCAAACAGCAACGAATGCAGACGGAAACTTGAATGAAAAGGAGATGCCCAAAAACATAACTGGATCAGGTCTAAGAGCTGAAGATGTGGCAAGACAATCGGATTGGTATGCAGCGAAGCGCAAAAGGGAGCAAGCCGCACTCGCAGAAAATGATATGAATGGCAGTAAATCTAAATTTGCTTTGCCGAAGAGTGGAAGGAGCGGCGAAAATTCCAACTCCAGTGAACTAATGGTAAAATTTGGTGAATATAGGAAACCGGTGCTTCGCCCAGATCAAAATTCAAGGCACCTATCGCATGATAGGCAGGCTCGCCTTAATGCTGCCAAACATAAAGCGGATGTGAGCAAATCAGTAGTGGACTTACTGAATCCTTATTATAAGAAGAAGATCACCACGAAAGATCTCTTCAAAACATTAGCCAAAAGGATAACAAATCGTGTTTGTGAAGGCAAATTGGGTGAGTTATAAATTATAGGTACCTACATTACAAATCCTATGTAAAATCTTATTTTCGGTTTTTTTTTCAGAGTCGTCACATTGCAAGTCTTACATACGCGATACATTTCTCACAATCAATGAGATTGCTACGGAAGCTGACATAGATAAATACTTTCCACTTTCTTAAACAAATGGCTGGTACAAACCTAAGCAATTGCACGTTCAGATTGTGGACCAATACCTTTCATGAAAATCATTCAATCGCGTGGTGAGCATATGTGGAAATAATTTGAATTTTAAAACCTTGGTGGATATACATATATTTATAAGCATTAAAGCTTAAGTTGAGATTCCGTATTATAATATTGCAAGACAACGTACGATTAAATTTTCTTGTAAAAACATAAGGCATTCAAAAGAAAAGAATGAATTGATCTTATTTTTCGCTAACAATTTGGGCGCACTGATGCATGGTTGCAAATGTATTGTCCAAAACAAATAACATTTGAATTGTGTTATTCTCGCAAAAATGATAAGTAGCAATAATTTTCACGAAAGGTACATATATTTAATTTAAGCTCCCAGAATTCTATGAATACGTTATTTTATTGAAAAAAAAAAATATTAACTTAAGTTGCGTTATTTCTAACAAATGGGTTTAATGGCTCCGTAAGGATATCAATTACTCAACTTCTGTGGCCAATTATAAATGGTAGTAATTAAAGTTAATTCTCTGCTGGCTGTAAGTGGCTTCTGTTTCCTATATTCGCTTGTTTACATAGACATTACTTTTGAAACATATAAATGTAGTAGTATTTAAAGGAGTGCATGCGTACATATGTATACATTTAATTAATATAAATCATACATATGCAATTACATATAAATATCAATATGTAAATATTAAAGTGTAGAATGTCATAATATACTGATTAAAATATGGACAGTGCTATACATATTTTAAAAACAAAAAAAGATGGTGTGTTTTTTTGTTGTTGTTGTTAGCCGCGTACGTTTCTCCTAATTGACTTCTATTTTTGAAGATTTCAGAGACTGGGTAAAAGCTTAAATAGACGGCAGCGTTGATCCGGACTAACTCGGACTTAATCCGGATTAACTGCAGTTAATTCCCGAGTCGATTCGGATCACCGCTGCCGTCTGTTTATGCTTTAAGCCGTGCTTAGGAGAAGTTCCGGGTACTCTATGAATTTGTACAACGATTTTGGGAAGCTGTGCCCAAACGCGTGAATCGAATCAAAAACCTTTTACACGCACTAATTTATTAATAATGTCGGTTGGAAATATGGTATTTTTTTGCAAGTTTCCGAGCTGAGCTGTTAAAAAAAATATCCACGAAATATCTCTGCAAAAGGTGTTCAGTTCCTTCTCTTTAGCAAAACAGAAAGGAGAATTCTACTTCGTGAGGGTTATAATCCCTAAGCGCGGCCGAAGGCCGCCTACGCAGAAAGTTGTTTTCTGCAAAAGTTGTAAAGCCCCTTTTCTTCGGCAACACTGAAAGGAGAATTCTACTTAGTGGGGGTTATAATCTCTAAGTGCGGTCGAAGGCCGCCTACGCAGAAAGGTGCTCTCTGCAAAAGGTGTTCAGCAACTCTTCTTGGGCAACAGAGAAAGGAGGTTATAATCGTTTTGGAAAAAATCCAAATTTCCGGTGTTTTCAAACAGCTCCCAAGGGTCTTTAAGGGGGGAGGAGGGCGAGGGGTGACTTTTCATAAAGCGGCGTCCATCCTCTTTCGTTTAGGGGGGTTTGGGAAGCCACGCCCCTCCCCCTCCGCCCCACCCCTAAATCGTTGTACAAATAGCTAAAGATTTCCCGAAGTTCCAATTGGTTATTCGAAAAATTTGTGGTTGTAGCATAAAACTATTGCAATTTCTACGCTGCTGTGAGCTCTTTAAAAAAAAAGAGACGCTTTGTGGCTGGATAAATTGTCTACCCTTATTGTACATAAATTGTTGTTTTAAAAGCAACTTACCTCACTAATATTGATGGTTCCCACGACAGTCCGGCCGGCGTAACCGAAACGACCCAGATTTATGTACATATGTATCTACATATGAACATGTGTATATCTGACCAAGGACTGTCACTCCAGCATCACTCCCCAAACACTCTGGGGACAGAATGCTGTTGCATTCGTTGCAAGTTACTATTAAAATTTTCACTAAAATTTTCACACATTAAACATATCTACATACATTAAGCCCATGCACATATTACATACGTATACATATATGTATAACCGAAGCGACACTAAATTTACACTTTCACACATTTGCCTCATAAACAACACCCGCGCTTATATTTTATGCATTTTCGATAGAGACATCACTCGACTTCAATTTAACACACGATTTATCTAATTTCGAATGATATTTAAACGCAAATTTTCAATTTTTTAACTTTCAATAGCTTGGCGCTAATTTTTACAAACGCAAAAAAGGAAGTGGTTGTAATAGCGGCGGAAATTTCACGAAGAACAGAGTTGCACTTTACTCAATTCAGACTCATTCACAATAGCAAGAAAAATAGAAAAATAAATTTAAAAATATTTCTGTAAAAAGAGTAGACGATTGAAATACTATGTCAAAATAATTCAATTTACTTTTAAATATGTATACATGCATTGGAATGCAAAGTTATAGGTACTAATTTAGAAACCATTTGATTTTGTATGTTTGTTGGCACTAAAGTTTTGCTGGAATCAAATGCAACCCCGCGCTTGTCAAATTTCCGCCGCCATTCCAACCGCTTCCTTTCGCGCGTGTGCAAAAATTAGCTACTAAGTAGTCGAAGTGAAAAATAGAAATAAAGCAATAAATATTCTACTACATTTGATTAATTTAGTGCGAAATTGAAGGCAAATAAAGTTTCTATTGAAAATGAGCCTGGACGTTGTTTTCAAGGTGGTTATAATGAAAGTAAAAATTGAGGCTAGCCAATGATAAACTTATGTATGTGTGGGTGTGTGAAAATGTGAAATATGTGCTACTTGTCATTGTCATTTATTGAACAGGAAAATTAGTACAGTAAGATTTTGAATCTTTTATCTTTTAGATGAAATAGCAATTTAACTGCTTTGCATTAGTATCAGTGGATATTAATGGAGTTAGAGAGGTAAGTTGAACATTATACAAATATACAAGCCTTTAATTTACTCAACAAGTATGTATGCTTGTATGTTAGGGCTGGCCAGTTTTGATGAGAGATTTTTTCGACTATGCGCGTAAAGCACGGAAGGCTTCTACGTGCAATTTTTAGTCAATTTGCAAAGAAACCATGGGTCTCAAGTCAATTTGGATTTTGCCAATTGGCGAAAATCGGTTTACTAGCATTTTGCTGTAGTGTCGTAAAAAAGTGCTTAAATTTTGTATAAAAACTTACTATAAGGGGTTGTTTAGTGTGACAAATTCATTTCTGCTCTTTTTTCTTGAATTTCCCACCAGAGGGCGCAACAGTGAAATTTTGCACAGCTTCTTCTAAACCCATTTTCGTCATTTGGCAAACTCCAAATTGATTTTAACCCATGGTTTCTTCGGCAAATTGGCCCGCCCTAAAGTATGTGTGTATGTATGTATGTTCATATTTATTCCTCGGTTAGACCGATAGCAGAGCTGCGGTTTACATTAGTTCTGTTCGCTATGAAAAAAACTTGAACAAGCTGGTACCAATTGTTACTTAATCGGGTTCGTTTGGACAAAAAACTTGCAAGTTGCAAATTCGTGCTGGGAAAAATTTTTTGTTGAAACAAGTCAGAGCAAATGTAAATATACGTATATGTCCTGTTTTGTTTCCCACTTGAAAAAAAAAAAAATATTATGTTCTAAATGCAACCGTGGACGCCAGCTGGCACTGCAGCTTGGCAAATTTCTTCAAAAAAGTGTTAAACAGCTTTTTCGAAGTTAGAATTTCCCTGGGAGAACAAAATCCTCGGGAGTATTTAGAATTGGGCCGAGTAAGTTTCTCTCCTTGGGAGAGTAAGTTACCTTATTCTCTGAATTTTGTTACTGGCTAATTTTAACTTAAATTAAGTAACCTAAAATGAAATACCGTTGCAGGTAATGAATAATTAAATTAAATAAAACAAAAAATTAAAATAAAATGAAATAAATTAAAAATATCTACATATACATATGTTTGTATGTAACAAATTATATCAAATAAACGAATTAAAATAACATGAAATGGTATGAATAGAAGTGGAATGCCCATTTAACAAAATTTTTCCAACATTACATTCTGGTATCCAGTGCGCCAAAAGAGCACAGCTGAAGAAGTGTATGGCATCGAGCGCCATCAAACTTGTTCGCACCCATCAAAGTACATAGTTGAAACTGTGTGCGTATCCAACGACTTCCCCAACATGAACGAAAAAAAACATCACACAATGCCAAACAATACTCCCAACTCACGTGCGCCTATGTATGTGTACATTATTTATAAATATATACCCTACAAGACAGCTGAGTATCATATGAGTACTCATATTATCATTATCCCTAATCACAAAAGTGCTTATCAAAGTCCTCATTTTCGTTCAGGCCATGGGAAAAAATTGAGTACTTTCCCCTCAATGTTGTCATCAGAAAGTCCTCAGTACTAATAGTCAAACTACTCATTTATGCCGTACTACAAAAACAAAAGTGTAAATGTGTGAGAATTTTTGCCTAAAGTGCTCAGCAATGTCTTGTAGGGTATATATATGGATATGCGAGTGAGATACATTTGTAACTGGTCGCTTGCAACAAAAGAACTCCGGCTGGCACTGTAGTTGTGTGCGTATTTCGTATGGTTTTCGTTTTCGGGAAAAATGTTTCATTGAGGTCCAGCCGGCAGGCCGCTCTTCGCTCAACGCTCATTCGTAGTTCTCTGTCCGCGCGGTGCGGTTGTGCGAGATTTTGTCGTTAGCGGTGCGCAAACACAACCAGTCTACCTGCCGAGCGCAAATTTCGTCGCTGAAAATTTTTATTTTTTTGTGTAATTCGTATATATATTTATATGTATTTAAAAATGCATAAATAAAACAGAAGTGTGTGCGTTAAAAATATATTAATTAAAATGAGTTTCAGTAGTTAATCCGCGAAATTACTGAACATAAATTTGAGTAGAGTGGACTGTGTGCGATTGTGATACCTACATACAGAGATTTCGAGAGGAAATTGCGTTTAAAAATCTATGCTGCACCGTACAACTTTTTTAATATAAAAATAAGTAATTTTTATTTAATTTGTATTACAAAATACATACACGAGCGGGCGCTCGCTTAAGAATTATATGTAGAAAAAATAATAAGTTAATTGCGTACAACTTTCTACTGCCAGTGTTTAAAATAAAAATTCCAAATCTTGTAAACATTCTGTCGCCATTCATAGAATTCACTCATCACTTCTCTGTGCCACAGTCAATACTCGCTAAGTGTGCCTTTAAATAACACCCACTAACTAAACAATCGAGCAACCCAGCTAACTAACAACCGTTGAACACCTCAAAAAACCTCCCTCACACCCGGCGTATTCGCTTGGAAAAAGCACTGCTTTCAACCCTCAGCGCAGTCTGCGAATTACATGTGTCACTCATACACTCGCTCCCTGGAGACCCCGCGTGGCCTACAATATTGGCGACGTCGCTAACCTCGTCGCTTGTGTAGTAGACCGGCAAGCAGTAAATATCGGAAAAAATTTAATTTTTTCGGTTACGTTGAACCAACCCGCCGGAAAGCCCCGCAGCGCGCACCCAGTGAGACACCGATTGATACACAGGCAGCATAGTTTTTTGTACCTTTTCTTACATATGTATATTTGCAAATAATGATGCAACATATAACATAACCAAAAGAACAATTACAACAACCAAACCGATAGCCATAAAAAGCAATAACAACTAGCGCGTATTTGAGCAGAGGGCGAGACGAGAGGCGAACGCGTGT